CAAGATTGAAGATGAAGCCAGGGCTGGGGTCAGGTGAGGGAGCCCCAGGGACAGTGGAGACAGTGCAGGGAATTAGGTGTCACTGGGAGCTGTGATACAACATCTTTATTTTATTTTATGTGGTGCTGAGGCGAACGCGCTACCATTTGAGCCACATCCCCAGCCCTTGGGAATTTTTTTAATGCCCTTGGGGTTGGAACCCAGGGCCTTATGCATGCCAGGCAAGCACTCTACCACTGGGAGCTTCATCCCCAGCTCAGTTATTAAGTATTTTTAAAGTTATGTCTTCTCACTAGGAATGTGAGGAAAGAAATCTTTCCTTTCAGCAGCAGCAAGGAGTAGAAGCAGCTCGCCTGGCCTTTTAAAGGACTCACCGTTGCACTGAAATGCGTGTGTCACAAATGCACTAGAAGTTTCCGTTCCTTTCTATTTGGTATTTGAGGGGATTTCCAGTTTTTTTATTCTCAAAAAACTCATGTTTGTCTCTCTTTTTTTCTTTTGGAGACTATCTGCATTCCTCAGTTTTCAGAGATCCAGGGAGAGGTGGCGAATCCAGTGGGTTTTCCTAATGAGCAGGATGTGAGCGCTGTCCTGCTCTCTCCGCCTTACCATGCTTGCTCTTACTTTCAGCATACAAGTGCATTTTTAAATGTGGATTTTATAGGCTGCCTGGATAGGAMACTGTACTAGCACTTAGGCTTTTGTGAAAAATGACTTTGGTAATCAGTGTGTATGATTCCTGGCAAATGTTTTGGCCCCAACTATTTGTAAAAGTATTTATCTGTCAAAAACCAAATCAAAGCAAAATCAAAAACAGGAATTAAGGCATCTTACTGAATGTCAGAGGTTCTGGAATGTAAGAAGTTGGAGTTAATTCATATTAAATAAATAATGCAAATAATTGGAAGTTGTGGGTAAGGGAAGGGCAGGTGGAGCAGAAGACTGGCAGAAGTACTCTGAACGTTTGTTTGGCTCCAGAATTTTGTGCATCTTGGTTTCCGTGCATGAAAGCACTTAATGTCCAGGAGAGTCAGATCAGAAATACACCTGTTGTATACGTACAGTTGTGGGCTTGTAACTCTGAAGAGGTGTTTGAAATCACCCATCATTATATCTCCATTAGTTACATCTGCCCTGCAGTCTTGCACGAGGCTATTTCTGGGTGCTCTGCTTCTGGTCCCTGTTTTACTCCTGATGTGGGTGACAAGTCAGAACTGTAGGTTAGAACCCAAGTGCCGTCTTGCACATCACACCCCCTAATACAAAAGCTATCCAGTTGGTGGACATAGTGTTTMGAGGCAGGAGAGGCCACTAGATAGCTTCTAGTCTCCGCCACCCCCCCACTGCCTTAGTCGTCAGTTAATATCATAGCAGAGTCATTGGAGCAAGAGTGACAATAAAAGGGTGATTGGGAGCAGGAGTGGAGGACTCTGGTCAGTGTGGGCAGTTGGGGTGAGAGGAAGCAGAATGGTCCTAAAAACAAACTCACAGTTTTGCCTAATAACACTTTGATGCAGGCCAGCCTGTTTGGCATGCCCTTATTTATTGATGCTCCAAAATATGAAAACTGAAATTTCTTTATGAGCTCCATCAGGATTGAATTAATGAACTGATTAATCTTCAGAAAATAAATAGAATTCAATTATTCCAAATTTTTAATTTACCTATAGTTAAAAGAAATCACCCTTGAGATAAGTCTTTCAATTAAAAATATAAAATATGACCCCTAATTGAACCGATATTGCTGTTTACTGTTACTGGATGTTTCATCATTATTGTGAGGAGATTTTTATAGGCATAATGAAAACTTAGCAGGCTTTTTATGATCATCTACCAATAGATATTTAGAGCAAACTTAATTTCAGCCTGTTGCCTGTCTTTCCACCTCAAAGCTGGCTGTGCTTTGAGGTCTTTTGCAATGCAAAGAAAACTATCAACAAAAATATTGTTATTTTTAAAGCCAGGTTACAGGAAATTATATTTTTGTAATGTGGTACATTTGTCATCTTCTGATTGGAATTTTTAATGAAATTGAARTTAGTCAATAACTCGGGTGATATTCGGTTAACAAAACTGAGCTGTGTTTTGGCATCGTCACTCCCTGGGACTGTCAATATTYGGCTTAGTGCTGTTGCAGGCTGATGCCAGACATGAGTCACTTCCTTCATTGTACTGGTAGATACTTTGGACTTGAAATGTCACTGTGGAGAAGATGGGGACAGGAACACTGTAGGTGCCCACTGGGACCAAGCCATGTCTACAGGTCTGCTGGGAGCCTCCCTGGCTCTTGCCCTGCTGACTTTGCCTTGAGCACAGTGCCAGCTCCAAATGATTGCCCATTGCCATCTGGAAGGGGATTTTATTTCTTTGAGTTCTGAACAGATAATCCCTGATAGTCATGGAGCTCATCTGGAGATTCAGATGGAGCAGGGTCTTCTCTTGGTGTCTCCCCATTGTGGCCCATTCTGGAGTTCAGTGGACATGCAGAATGTTAGAGACCTGAGTATGATCTTGTTAGATTCCAGGTGATGCAGRTACATGCCATTGTGGTAGGAGTAGAAAGATATCACAGTCTTTCACCTTGAGATTTGAGCTGTTCAAGAGACTCGGCAGTTTAGTGTCTTTCAAAGCCCTTTTATTTATAGTGCTGAGTTCATGTCCCTCTGAAGTGCATTCAACTGGGTTGCTTTTTTACCTTCCCCTAACATTTCAAGGAAGAGGGGAAAACTGTAGAGCATCTAAGTGTAGCAACATTTTTTWAAAAATATTTGTTCTTAAGTTCTAGGTGGACACAATATCTTTATTTTATTTTTATGTGGTGCTGAGGATCGTACCCAGTGCCTTGTGCATGCTAGGTGAGCGCTCTACCACTGAGCCACAACCCTAGCCCCTAAGTGTAGCAAATTTGATAGAAAAGTTGTACACCCCCTGCCCCCAGGGGAAGTATGTGTAGCCACACCCTGAACACAGATTTCAGGTGTGGCCAGGGAATAGCTGGGTAGTGCAGGAAGGAAGAAGACTGCACAGTGAAGGATTTCAGTGGAGCGTCCCCCCAGAGCGCTGTGGATGTCAGCAGAAGGAGGGAATTGTATCATCAGATTTCCTCTTTCCTGGGAAGCAGAGCTCTCAGATTCCTCCAGACTGTCATGACCGTGAAGGTGGCTGGGTGCAGGTGCTGCACGTCTCCCTCTCTCATTGTCCGAGGGCCAGCAATGTGGCTCAGGCAGCATCTAAGCAGCATTTAGCCTTTGAGGTGGTCTCACTTGGAATATTTGGATGTGGGGCAAGAAGAGTTACTGTTTCCATCTGCTGTGGTGTGGCATCTCGTGGGGAGTCCCTGCTGGGCAATGTCCTCAGAAGCTCTCTGAGCCCTGAGTGTGCCTGGTCACTGGACCATCCTACATCAAACAGCCCAGGTGCTGATTCTAATAATTTGCTAATGATACTTAGCTTTCCTAAGGGACAGAGTGTGGCCATGTCAGCTGCCAAATGAGGAAGAAAATGAAAATAAATTTATTTTCAAATTAAGTAAGTTGTCTTCAGAACAACTTGTGTGAACTTGACACTAAACAGAGCATGAGGCTTTTCTTCCTCTGTGAAGCTCTGAAGACTATTGACCTTGGTGTTCAGATACCTGATAGTGGTAGCCCAGGGAACACAAAGCTGCAGCCTCCCAGATAATTTTTTAAAAATATTTTTTTAGTTGTAGTTGGACACAATATCTTTATTTATTTTTATGTGGTTCTGAGGATCGAACCCAGTGCCTCACACGTGCGAGGCGGGCGCCGTACTGCTGAGCTACAGCCCCAGCCCCCCAGACAGATAATTAAATCTAAATGCAAAAAAACACTAGGAAAGTGTTAAAGTATGTAAATCAGCATATGATCCCTAGTAAGGCAGATGAACGCTCCTGCAGTGCAGGGTTGAGGGTCCACATTCCCCTCCCATGTCTGGCCTCATAGTACGTGCTGAAAGACATACCATTTTAAATGCTATCAGTGCTGAGTGAGTTCCTAGGGAACAGTGGCATTCTCGGAGGTAAACATGATCCAGATCACTTAAGGCTTATTGATTTTATGATCAGTACTTAGGTTGCTGCTAAAAGCAGATAGGTTCCCGATATACATCAGAAACCTGGGAGGCCTGCCCGCTTAGTGGGTCCTGCCATGCTGTTTCTCAGGCATGCTCTGGCCAGCTCAAGCTAACCATTAGGCTCACTCTTCTGTGGAATGCTAGCCTAAAATAACATTCAGTACCATAATTAAGCTCTAGTGAAGAAGTCTGGGCAATTATCAGAGGATAAAAGGAATTTAAGATCTATTAAAAATTTGAGGCTTGGTACTGTGCAGTCCAGAATTTGTACTTGCATGATCTAAATGTGAACAGGTGGAAACACCCAGTCCTGGGGAGGAGGAAGAGCCCCCTTCCAAAAGAGCCTGTTTCTGGGCTTCAGTTTCAAAGCAGAGTGATAAAGCGGGTCTTGAGCAAAAAAGCAAGAGTAGCCTTAGAAACAGAACTTAAGGGAGAATTGATTTCAAAAGGATTATTCTAATCTGTCCATCTGTTTTCAGTAGGTAGCAGATGTTAGGGTGGACTCATTGGCAGGCTGTGAACTGGGCCATCCGCCTGTGAGGTGGTATCATCATCTCAGGGGATTTATGKTGTGAGCAGGATGAGGAGTGTGAAGTGCTCTGTAGCCAGCTTGCGTCCAGTAAAGAGAACATGGCTGTAGTAACATATAACAAGGATTTTTCTTGAGTATCTTTAATTTGTTTGTTAATTGATTAATCTGAAACAAAATGACCAATTTTGTCCTTACCAGGGCCGGTGGGAAAGTCAACAGGATGTATCCCAAACAACGGTTTCCAGAGGAATAGCTCCAGTCCCCCCTGCCCTCTCTGCTTGTCCCCAAAATAACCACTCGCCAGATCCAGGTAAGTCGTCTTTTCGTCTGTCAATCGCTGATATGAAATCTGAGCATCTTTCAAGAGTTTCTATCAGAATTTCTTGCTGGGTTACCACTGTTCTACCAGCGACCATCTCCAGTGTCCCCTTTCTTGTCTTAACGTGTTGAGCTGTGTGGGCTTTGGAGTGTGGATTCATCCTGTGTTTCTCTCCTGGATACCCCTGGATCCTGGAGTATTGTCCTCTGACTCTATTTGCTATTTTTGTTGGGATTTCTGTGTGTGTGCGCTGTGTGAATATGTACAAGTTTTTATTTTCTTTTATTCATATCTTTGTCAGGTTTTTGTATCATGATTGCATTAGCCTCATAAAATGGCTTGGGAGATGCTTCTCATCGTTTTCTGGAAGGGTTTATGTATGATTGGTGTCACTTCTTCCTTAAATATTTGACAGAATTCCCTAGTGACACTGTCTTGGGCCTGGAATTTAGTTTGTGGGAAGATTTCAAATTATGACTTGAATTTCTGTACTACAGTGTTATTTTATTTTTTGTATTCCTTCCGGGTCAGTTTTCACAAGTTAGGTTTTCCAAGGAATTTGTTATTTCATCTAGATTATTAAATTTATTTGCATAAAATCACATCACRTTACTCTTCTTTTAGGATTTGTAGGCTCTCCCATGCAGTTCCTTCTTTTTATTCTGTTGATGGTTAATTTTTTTCTGTTTCCTAAATACTTTGCTACAGGTTTATCAGAAGCAATAATTTCACAGAACCAACTTTGGGCTTTAATTTTGTTTATTATTATTTTCTATTTCTTTGGTTTTAAGAATTTCTTTCTGTCATTCACATGTGTAATTGGTGCTTTCATTGTTATTCTACTCAGAATATTTTAAAATTTCTTTGATTCTTTGAAACATGTTACTAGCATGCTGATTCATTTGTGTATATGTGGGAGTATTTTTATTTCCTAATTAAATTCATTTTGATTCTTGAATATTTCAGTCTCCAGATGTTATAAAAGGCACTTGGCAATGGTATTCTTTTTGTTTTAAAGCAGCCACTTGTTGTTGAAGGAGATGAGGGCATAGARGCAGGTGGCGATCTGCTGTGTCCCCATGTCCGTTGCTTGTGGCCCTGTTCAGCCCTTTCTGAAGACCTTGTTTTTGTCCAATTTCACTTTTCTTTAGCCTGAAGAATATCTGTAGTACTTCTTAGTGTAGTTCTCCTGAAGAGAAAAGCTCTCTTAAGTGTCTTTATTTCACTGTTTTTTTTTTCTTTTTCCTTTTAAAAAGGCTATTTTGACCAGATAGAGAATTCTGGGTTGCTGGCTTTTTTCTTTTAGCACTTCAGACCTCTTTTTTCTTTCAGTGCTTCAAGACCTCTTCTCCCAGGCCCCTCCATGCTGAGAATTCAGCTATCATTTGTGTCACTTGCCCACATGTGTTTAGTTGGTTTTTTCAGAATATCTCCATATCTTTGTCTTTGGCGTTGTACTATGAATTGCTTAGTTAGAGTTTTCTTAGTATTTACCTTGCTTGGGTTTCACCAGTGTTCTTGGGTTGATGTTTTTCAATAAGTTTGAGAAAGTTTTAGCTGGTTTTCATTAAAAATTTCTTTCCTGTCCCTTTCCATCTCCACTCCTCCCGAGATCCTAGGTGAGGGTGGAGCTCACAGTCTCTGGTGGTGTTGTTCCTCCTCCTCCTCCTCCTCCTTCTGCTCTTCTTCTTCCTCTTTTTTAAAATGTTTTCATCTCATATCTTCTGGTTGGATAATGTCTTCTGCCATTTCCAGTGTTCTCTTGAGCACATCCAGGGAATTTTTTATTTCTGCTATTGTTCTTTTCCTGTAGAATTTCCATTTACTGTTGATTTTTTTTTGGTTTTGATTTCTCTGCTGATATTCCCTGTCTGTGTATGTGTTAAACCCATCTTTTTAGTGTCCTTGAACTTGATTATAAAAGCTGCTAAATCAGACAAAAGCTCTTATTTCTATAGACTCCTGTTTCCTCGACTTGGGTCATAGTTAATGAGTTTGACCTGTGTAACTTGCACCCTGCTCAAGTCTAGGAATTTGCATGGTTCCAGTTAGCCCCACTCCCCGTAGCCAGCCACTGTTCTGACTGCTGGAGATTGCTTATGCAGTTCCACGTAAATAGAGTATGCACTGTCTATGCGTCTGGCTCTTTTGTTCAGCACACGTGTTTGTCTTAACATATTGTTGCTGGCATCAGTAATTAACTTCTATTTCTGAAATATCTCACAGTCACAATTGACTTTATCACAATTTTTTAAATATTTATTTTTTAGTTGTAGTTGGACACAATACCTTTATTTTATTTAATGTATTTTTATGTGGTGCTAAGAATTGAACCCAGGGTCTCGCAAGTGCGAGGCGAGCGCTCAACCACTAAGCTACAACCCCAACCCCTTATCACAGTTTTTAATCATTTTTTCCTGCTCACAAACATTTAAGTGTTTCCAGTTTGGGGCTACTAAGAAGAATGCTTATTCTTGTACAAATCTCAATGTGAACATTTTTTCTGAAGTAAATACTTAGGAGTGAAGTTGCTGGGTTATGGTGCGCCCTAGATCTGAATTCCCTAAAGTAGTTGTGCTTTGCTCACACTTGCAGGCAGGTCTGAATTGATTGACATGTTTGCTGTTGGGCTTTGCTCATCTTTGGTCTCGTGTCCCACTCTGTTCTGGGTTTAGTTTCTTCTGTGGTGACACGTATCCATCATTGGTGCTTTCAGCAACTGTCTTTTACTAACAACCCCTTGTTTCTTTTCAATGTTAAAGTTTTTATTTTGGTCTCACTTAGAAACTCTTTTTTTTTGTGGAAACTATCAAAGGTACAAATGTAGAAGTAACGTGATGTGCTGGCAAACACCCACCTCTTGATTTCCATCCACCCATGACCAGTGTGACTTGCCTATGCTCCTACCTCCTTCGCCCCTTATCTCTTGTGAGATGTGCAGCCTTTGATTGGTTCTCAGCCTTTGATTGGTTATGGATCATACTCCCTCTAGAATGTTAGAGCTCAAATTGTAAATTTCCCCTCAGCCTTGAGATGATTAGTTCTTGTAGCTTTTTATGTATCTTGAACTTACTTTTCTTTTTTTTCTCTCCTCTGTTTTTGCMTTCTTGTAAATTATTTGACTTTTCCAAGTTCAATTGTAATGTACCCCCTGGTGCTGGAGCCATCTCTGCTTTACCTTCTTAGAGGTTGCTCTTGTGATTACGGTAGGTCCTGAGCTTTCACAGCTAACATTACACTACTTTGTGTGAACTTTGGAAACTTCACAGCTGTATGAGCCCATTTACCAACCGCATGGCCAGGAAGCCTGGGGCCCTCAAGGTTCGTGTGCAGTGAGGTCTGGGTGCCCTGGGCACCTCTGTTCAGGGAAAACGTCTATTCTTCAAGGTGGCTGCTTGCTCTTTTTAAGCTGTTGTGTGGATATGGTGTTCTAACATTTAGGATTTGGAGTAGATTTTCCTATAAATTAGTAAGGGGAAGGAAATCTTACTACATCACAGGTATCGTCTGCACCTCTCAGCCTAGCCTTTAGTAGCTGACAGCAGGTAAGAAGATAGTTCAGACCTCTCTCTCTTTTAAAAATAACTGAATACCACTGTTCTCCTGAAGGTCAAGTTCATCATCTTTCTTTAGTAAATAGTGATGAGAAACTTGAGTCTGTAGGACTTAGTCATGGACTGAAAGCCTAAAGTCTGTAAGGAGACTTACACCTGTATGTTGGCAGTTACGTCACTGAAAAGCTGAGCCCCCTTTGATTCTAGGGCAGAAGTTATTTGTTGACAAGGACTCAGGTGGATTGCCTTCTGATACTGCATATTAGGAGCACTGAATATTAGAACCTTCTAGAGGCCCCCAGTTACTGCTCTTTTACTGGTAGTGGAAACACCATGTGTTTGAGGATAACTGATGATACTCTCTTTTTCTAATATTAGTCTTTTAAGGATGCTTTTTAAAATTTATGTTGTTAGATTTTCTTACAAATAATATTTGGCAAATTCGCAAGAAAGAAATGTCTGTGTCATTGTTTTGTTTCATCTTGTGCCTTTCAATCTTGTTGACAGGGCTTGGTAGCCTAGCAGCCTCCTACTTGAATCCAGTAAAATCCCTGGTGCCACAGATGCCAAAGCTGCTGAAGTCCCTTTTTCCTGTCCGCGATGACAGAAGGGGCAAACAGCCACCTCCCCTTGCACATCAGGTAAAAAGCATCGAGAAGGCAGCAGTGTGTTTTCTGATAGGTCGCTGAAGAGTGACTCTGTCCCTGGAGCTAGAGGGAGAGGGACAGCAAAACGGGGCGTTAAGACTGGGCTTTCAAGCCTGGTAAAAGCTTGTGATAATTTCTCTTCCATTCTCTTCAGAGATAACAGAGCTGTTTAAACTTATTGACACACTCCATCCTTTCTGCTTTTAAAAATGCCAAGTACGCTACTAATGTGATTTATGGTAATATCACTTAGAGCAACAATAGTAAAATTTATGAAGTGCACTTAGTGTTGTTTGTGTATTGCCAAGTAGAAAATGTAATTCTATTTTTAATTCTTGATTTCATTTCTCTTTTCAAACAATTTTATGTCATGACTGTCCTTCCCTTTCAACCTCTGCTTCCTCTACTGTGGATAATCTCTTCTTTTACTTAAAAGTGATCACTTATTTCCTTTTTGTGGCTCTACCTTGCCCTAGAATAAGTGTTGGAGAAAATGTTAAAGGGTTTCCAAACATGCAGGAAGCTGTTCTTATGCAGTAATGKCGAATGGGAACCCTTGGAAATGCAGTTTCTAGCCTTACATAGGTGTTAGCTCAGCAGAAAGTGATAAACGAGGTTTTACTTACACTCACTTGGAAGCACCAGGACAAGTACCATCATTGGGAGTGGTTTTGACATCAGCACTTCCATATCATTTTTAAAAAAAATTTTTTTGTAGTGGTAAATGGACAGAACTCCTTTATTTTATTTGTCTATTTTTATGTGGTGCTGAGGGTCGAACCCAGTGCCTCATGTATGCTAGACAAGTGCTCTGCTGCAGAGCTATAGCCCCAGCCCTCCATATTCTTTGATGCATTCCAGTTGCAGAAATGCAGGTCAGTAGTTGTCTGAGACTCAACTATTTACAAGAATTTTCTAAGTTTATGAAGGCATATTCAAGGAAAGTGGGGTTGGTTGTATAAGACTGCTGTGTAGATAYGTAATTTTTTCAATCTAGCATTATATAAGCATGTACGTAAGAATACACATGGAGTGAATGAAAAGACTTAAACGTCGGGATTCTGGAATTGTTTAAACTATATTCACTGCAGCACATAACAGTGCTCGCTAGTTACTGATATGAACTCCTGGCCACGGGAGGGACGGGGCAGGCAAAGGTGTCTCTCCCCATAGTTTGTTGTCATGTGTGCTAGTCTCCTCTTAACTTCCCATCAGTGTTTCATGAACTAAGGGTCATGAAGTGTCTGAGTTACCAAAAAAAAAAAAAAAAAAAAAGCATTTTCTCAGCTGGGCTCAGTAGCACATGCCTGAAATCCCAGCGGCTCAGGAGGCTGAAGCAGGAGGATTGCTAGTTCAAAGCCAGCCTCAGCAAAAGTGGGGCACTAAGCAACTCAGTGAGACCCTGTCTCTAAATCAAATACCAAATAGGGCTGGGGATGTGGCTCAGTGGTCAAGTGCCCCTGAGATCAATCCCCAGTCCACTCCACCCTCCAAAAAAAATGCATTTTCTCAGACTGCCCTGGTGACCCACAGCCCACCTGGGGACACTGTCTGATCTGTATTGATGAGCCCTGAGGTGATGCTTATGTGGAGTTTAATAGCCACTTTTTTTTCTGTTGCTGTTCAGTGAAGGCGGTAATCTAAGTTGAAGGAAGTTGGAATGACTTTAAAAGTCATGGGATCAGCCCACTGTGGTCACAATTATTTTTAAACTGTTTTCAGTTTTTTTTTTTTTTAAGAGAGAGTGAGAGGAGAGAGAGAGAGAGCGAGAGAGAGAGAGAGAGAGAGAGAATTTTTTTAATATTTATTTTTTAGTTCTCGGCGGACACAACATCTTTGTTGGTATGTGGTGCTGAGGATCGAACCCGGGCCACACGCATGTCAGGCGAGCGCGCCACCGCTTGAGCCACATCCCCAGCCCCTGTTTTCAGTTTTTGATGTAGCATGTCAGAGCACCTGCCAGTGGGAACTTGTTTGTACACTCACTGTGCTGGCAGTAGGCGACTGGAGACGTGGAGAGCAGCAGCGTGTCAGAAACAGATCTTTGGTGATGGGAAGAGAACTGCAGTATGTCATGTCCAGGACGAGAAGTTCACTTGAGATGTGTTATTGAAATATTAGCAATTTATGTTCGTTTACTCAAGTGTATTTATTTTTTGAGCACATATGAGCAAAGGTATTGAGGGAATGGGCCTTGAGCAAATATTTCATAGTTTATAAATATGTGAAAACATAGCACTGAAGCTGGTGTGAATGAGGATAGATGTCCAGTGGTCAAACTCTTTCCTCTGGTTTATGAAGATGCCACTCCCTTTTCTTGGCAGCACCAGCCCAGTCTCTGTCTGCATCCCTGACTGCATTAGCATAAAGCTCTCAGCTGCCCTGCTGCCCTCTGCCCGTCCTCTCTGGCCTTTCCTGGGTCTGTTTCTTCCATGAAGCCTCTGATGTTCAGTGGCCATCGCTGTGTGGGCATTTTTTTCTTTCTTGGTCTCATTCCGCCCCATGGCTTTACCATAGTGATACAAAGTAGCCAATGGCCTTTCACAGCTTAGGCTGTGAAAACACATCAGTCCCCAGCTTGAGACCTTCCTTGGAAACAGAATAGAACCTAAGTTCTTCTGCAGTTGGTACACATCCTCCGGTGCCCTGATCTTTCATCGTTATTTCCTTTCTTCTCTTCAGTCTCCTTGCTGAATTGTATCTGTGCCTTTTTGTCTCACAGGTTCTGGTGCCTGTCTTTCCTTCTGCTGGGAGTGCTCTCTCCAGAGTCCTTGCAGGGCCAGGAGAGCGGCAGCCATTTCAAGGAGGCATAGTTTACAGTGGTGTCTCTTCACCACCAAACTGAAACAGCCTCCACCAAACACACGCACTATATTCTCTTGATTCTTTTTCTTTTTTTAAATTTTATTTTATTTTTTATGTGGCACTGAGGATCGAACCTAGTACCTTACCCGTGCTAGGCAAGTGCTCTACCACTCAGCTATGGCCCCAGTCCCATCGATTCTGCTTCTTACTGGGAGTTATGGTTAGGTTTATATGTTTGTTGATGTAAACCTTGAGGACAGAGCTTCCTGTGCTGGCTGGGGCCTGACATGTATGACACACAGTATGTATTGGTTGGCTCACCATTGACGTGTATACAGACTGCAATGTCAGACTGCACAACAGTGGCATTCAGTGATAGAAGGGACCATGTTTACAATTAGAGGTGAGAGAATCACAGCTGAGTGGGGGCTTGGGACATCCAGACCTGTTTATAAACTTTCTTCAATAGAAGTGTCACTAAAGAATATTCATTCCTGAAGGCAGCCAGGCATGATGGCACGCGGTCTGTAATCCCAGCAACTTGGGAAGCCAAGGCAGGAGGATTACAAGGTCAAAGCCAGCCTCAGCAAYTTAGAGATCCTGTCTCAAAATAAAAGGTAAAGAGGGCTGGGGTGTGGCTCAGTGGTGAATCATCGCTGGGTTCAATATCCAGGACTGTAAAAAGAAAGAATGTTCCTGAAGGAGAGAAAAACTTTAGCTTTTCATTTGGGAATCAGCTGATCAAAGACCCTCGTGTTCCCCTCATTTTACTGACAGTCTCTGGTGAAGCTCTGGGAGAAGTCGGTGTCTGTGGAAATGACTTCTCACAGCATCCAGGCCTCTCCTGCCTGGTCATCTTAGAGACTGAGCCGCGAGTGCCGTGGAAAGCACAGGAGCCATGAGAGCTGGTGGCCTGCTGGACGMATCCTGCCCTGCTTGTTTCTAGTGATCGTCTCCTTCACTGGGCACTTCTGAGTGGGCACTTTTGATGCCTACAGYTTGAGATTCTCACAAAAAAATTGTACTCCCCTCCCGCTTGCTGAACAAGGTCTTCTCCGAGCTCTCTGCCGAGTCCSGGTGAGGTGGGGCGAGGTGGTCTTTCCTTCTCCTGGGCCTCCTCCAGGCTGGGCAGCTCAAGAGGTCTGTGCTGTTCCAGATACAAGTGCTCTCCCACCCTGCGTCTTGTCAGGGCCTGTGCACSGTGGGGAGCCCTGAAGGGAGCAAGTTATTCTTGGTCTTGAAAATAGTGGAACTCTGTCTTTCTCATGTAAATCATATACTTYTACCAAAGTAGCCTATGATTATGCCTTTTTTGTTTGCTTTTTGGAAGAAGCATCAGTTCTTTGTGCTTCTTGTCAGTTAACGATGCCGGAATTTTTTGGCGATTTTTCCTCTCGTCAAGGTAGTTCCTTTTCCCTTTTATTATTATGTTGTCTAACTGAAGTGTACAAATACTAAATGAAGAACTTCAGATTCATTTCTAAAATTTTCATTTTGATTTTTAACATTCCTGGGATATCAGGATCCTTGTGAGTTTTTAAAAGAACATTTTAGCTATCATCTGCACACCTTTTAAAGCTCCCCATCTGCATGCCAGTCACCAATGTTGAACATTATTAGGGACTAAAGCAGAGTCCTGTCATCTGCAAGGAGAGGCCACAGATGACATCAACAATCAAGGACATCTAGAACAAAACAAACGCTGATGCACRTAACGATGCACCTTAGCAGCAGCTTGGTGAGACTCACCAGCACTGGAGGCTTCCTCTCTGTTCTGATGATCTTTTACTTGCTGCTAATGCCTGTTACACCCATTTCAGGGGTCCCTACAAAAGATCTTTAAATTAACATGACCAGACATTTAGATGTTGAGAACAACATCAAGTGCAGATCAGTGGGTGTGTGCAGTGGCGCACACCTGTAATCTTGCACCTTGGGAGGCTGAAGCAGGGGAATTGAAATTTTAAGGCCAGCCTCAGCAACTTAGTGAGACACTGTCTCACAATAAAAAAAAAAAAATACAAAGGGTTGGGAATGTAGCTCAGTGGTAGAGCACCCCTGGGTTGGTTCAAGTCCCATTATTGGGGAGAGGGAATACAAATCAGAGCATATGACTCAAAGAAATTAATTCTATAGTACAGAAGCATATAAATATCATTATTAATATCAATAAGACTTAGAGATAGTAA